AGAGACAAAAGCCCTTGGGACTCCTCGATGGAAGGTGTCCATCAACTATAGAAAGTGAGGGACAGCGTGTGCCGCCTGTCTGCTGTGGGCGCAGGAAACCCAGCTCTAGGGGAGCTGGCACGTAGGTCTTGTTTGAGCAAAATACTTCCTTTACTGGAGCAGAGGATCTCATTATCAAGACAGCAGATTGTTGAGTGCCTTCTTGAGAGCCGCTGCAGCAGTGGTTCTCCATTTGCTTTGCTCCTGTTCTTTTTTGGGGTCTAGCCTGGGACTTGGGGTGATAGTTGGCTTATTAGCACCGGTGAGATCATGAAATACCAGGGAGACGGGGCAGGCATAATGAATCTGCTGAGCTAAGATGATGTCATGAGCCTGGCGTCTTACGAGGGATTTAGTGTTTTGTGCCACGCAAGTGAAAATGAATAAATGTAGAGCGTTTATCCAGGCAGAAAGTAAATACAGAGATTAGACTTGTCATTGTTACTGAGGCAGCACCAAAAGCTGACAGTGTCCCTGGAGCCAGGGCTGCTGATCCGGAAAGAAACAGGCAGGAAGAGAGAGGAGCCTGCCCTAGAGCCAGTCTCCTTTTAGCCACAGGCATGTGGTAGGGATTTGCATTTTAATTATTTTTCAGTAGTCTTTTAAGCTCTCTTTCCAAAGCGTCTCCCTCTGCTCGCCTGTATTATGGCCCGCAATATGTTTTGGGCCCCGAGAATACACCCAGAGCACTGCCAGACTCCACGCGCGGCAGAGAGCAACCGCTGGAGGATTAAGGTGGTGGAAGGTAAAGTCTAGCCATTGACCTTTACTTTTCCTTTCCTTTGTAGTGGAAGAGCTTTTTTGCCCAGGCTTCTGGCCCGAGGCTGCTCTCAGTTTAGATTTTTAAGCTCATCTCTTTCCTAGGCAGAAAAAAAAATATACCACTGCCAAGCTGGATGATGCTGCCATGGCCCAGGTGACAAACTACGCTTTGCTTTTTATCACCCGCTCAACTCTCCTGAGAAAATGTAGCCTGAATTCTCCGATTCATGCCTTTGTTTCCCCTTCAGCTTTTTACATCACAGCGGTGTCACTTTTCAGCCTGGTTTGAGCAAGTTGTGTCTGTGCTTCTTGAGAGCTCTGTAATGCACCGTCATTCTGCAGCAGATCTCTCGAACGAGCGGCCGCCACAGCCTCATCTCAGCGTGGGTTTTTTTGGATGATGTGATTCTTCCTTCGGTCCACTTGGCTACGACACAGATCTCGCTAGTCATTGAGTTCTACAAGTTTTAAAATAAACTCCTCTCCAGCAGGTTTAGCATTATTGGTTGTTTTGGTTTGTTTTTTGGTGGGTGTCAGCTTTTTTTTGGACTTACCCTGATGGCAAAACTTAACTAGCACCAGATGTTAAAAGACAGAGGGTTGCTCTTGTTTTTCTTGGCACAATATATTCCCACTGCACCCTGTTTAATATTATCTGAACAGTAATCTGATGATTAGGAGAGAGAGTGAAATAAAGCTTTATGTAGATGATCTCTTTTCATCTCTTCAGCTGACTCTTCGAGGCACTGCATTAAAGGATTGGTTTGATAAGGAACTCATCGCTCCTGAGGGCAATTATCATTTTTGCTTCCGATGCTTCTCAAATGGGAAGGAGTAGCAGCCTGATCTCCTTTATCCTTCAGTGTAACTTTGAAGACAGTATCCAGCCACTCCTCCCTGGGAGCTGTGTGTTCTGGAACAGACTTGACACAGTAGCTGTTAAATTACAGGGCTGGAGCAAACGGCATCTTAAATTTGGATCCTGTGGAAAATCCCAGAAAAGCAATAAGCACTTGGAGTACTTTTCTCTATCTAGATATTTCCAGCATGCTCACAGTCCTGGTTTCGGTATGCCTTCGCATCCTTCCATCCGCTCAAAGTGGTTTTCAGGGTGACTGTCGTTAGCAGTGCTGAGATATCCAAGCTCTCTCCCTGCCTGGCCAAGGCTGGATGCCTGCAGGTAAACACCATGGTGCCCACTTTCCCTCTGTGAGATGGGCAGCTGAGAGCTGCTGTTAGTGCAAGAACATGCCTCTGCATGGAAGAAACTGCCTGACGTGTCCCAGGTAGCAATTCCTGCTCTAACGTGTGGACGATAAAATAGTGGTGCCTCTGTTTGGGTGGGCATCTCGACAGAGAGGTGCCTGTGTTGGAAATGCCTTGTGCTGTCACTGCTATGCTGCTGCCGATCTAATTACTTTTTCTTTTGTCTGTCTCTTTCCTTTCCCCGTCTTCCTTGTTTCTGTGTTGTACGTCTCTGCGTCCTGTAGTACAAATCTGTGTTTAGGTCCTACTCCCAGGACTTTGTGCCTCACAACCAAGTCTCCATACCTCCTTTCCTCTCTTCTACCTCCTCCTCCTGCTCCACCCCACCTTTTCCGCCCGTCCATCCATCTCAGAGCTCTGACCTAGCGGTGCCCGCCGCAGCCAGCCAGTCACCCAGCACTGTGGATGTGCCAAACTCCTCTTCTCAGGAGAGCAGCTTTAACGGGAATGCTCCTGTCTGCCTTCCTTCTGAAACCTCTTTCACTGATTCTCTCCAGACGCCTTCGGTGAGACTATCCAAAGAGATAATGCACCTTAACACAAGGCTGTGTTTATTTGTTTTTAAAAGAAAATGTCTCTTTTATTAATACATGCTTAATGGGATCTGGTTTCCAAACGTGTATGAATTGCAGAGAGGTAATTCCATATAAAAATGGTGGCTAGAAAAAGCAAACAACCTCAGCAGGTTTGAGAAAACGTTAGCACACATGTAGGAAACATAAAATGTCAAATGCTGGCGAAGGGGAGAGAAGTTGCTGTAGCTTCCTGCAATTATAATACAAAGCTGAGGAAGGTAAAGGAGTGTTTTGTGAGGTTGGCTGCTTCTAACAGCAGTTGGCATCCTGCAGTTGCTGCCATGGCAGGGTTTGATGAGTGCTGCCCTGCTCCCTCCCAAGTCACTGGTGAGCCCCAGGAGCAGTGGGTGGCATCCAGCTCTGTCTCTCCTGTACATAAACCCATTGCTCTCTCCAGTCTCCTGCTCTTTCCGCTCTCCAGCAGCTCCAGCTGCGCGCGGGCTGGCTGGGCACGCTGCTGCAGAACGTCACGGGCTGCTGAAGTTAGACTCACACTGATACGGCACTGCTAGCTTAGGGTCCCAGATCAGTTTTGCAGATCGCTTGGCAGGTTTGTGCATTATAACGACTTTTTTAAACACCTTGTCTTCAAGGCAGCACCTCTTTTGTTTGCTGCAAAGCCTGGAGTTGATGGAATTAGAGCTGTCAGTACAGTGCGAGCTAGTGCTGCTTCTTCACAAAGTTTGGAAGAGACACGTGGATTGCAGAGTAAATGATGAGGTTTTCACACTTTGGACCTGACCTTGCTGTGGCATCTTCCTTGCATTAGGTCCTTGTTACAGCCCAGAAGCCCTCCGGTTTGGTTTAATGTGGCGCGATGGCTCTAGCCTGTGCTTGTAGCGTAGTTTGGGAGATAGATTCAGTACCCCCTGTGCTGCAGGACTGGTCTGTGTTTAGGAGCAGGAGTGCAGCACGGGTAGGACAGGCGCTTGTGTGTCCAGCTCTGAACGCTCAGCTTCTGTAAGCTTGAAGTCCTCACGTGCATGTTGCACCTTCACAGTCGCACATGGAGTCCGTGGCAGCTCTTGGAAAGCAGTGCCTGCTGCTGTCCTGCTGTAGCTCAGGGCCTTCGGGATAGTCCTTGAGAACCAGAAAGTAGTTCCCTCCAGGAAGGTACAGCCTCGGTGACCGGTGTTGGCCGCTGTGCTGGAGGAAGGGCTCCCAATTAGGTGACAGCAGCTGCCAAGAGCACTTCTCCCAGCCTGTGGGCACGTTCTCATCAACATTAAGTGCTGGTGGAAGGCAGCATCACACATTTCCTTTCATCCTGTCTCCCTTAGAGTGAAAATGCCAGTGAGGAGGCTGGTGAGGGTGAATATGTCAATCTGTATTCCTCTGGCCAGAGCAACGGGGAACTCCCTCGCTCTGAAGGAGTAAGTAACCTGGAGAGGGCCGGACACCGGGAAGGGGCTGCCTGGTGCATGCTGAGCTCACGCTGGGGCTGACGCGCTTGGCACCGGCCTCTTCTGCACACTGTGGAGCTCTCGTGTCCATCCTGCTGCCCTGGCTCCCTGGCTGGCAGTCCCTCTGCTTGCCCGCTCCTGGCTTCCAGGCTTGGGTGGCCTCCCGGTCCCGAAGCAGGCGGTGCTTTCGGGGTCGCGGTGAGCCCTGGCAGGAGGTAGGGATGGCTTTTCCTGCCACGCTCTTTCCTTTGTGCTTCGCTGTCTGTTTGGATCTGCTTCTGTGAGATTCCCTTCCAGAAAGCTGCACCTTGACCAGTGCTGTCCTGGGGCCGTGTCTGTTCTTGTAACTGCTTTGGCTTCCCTTTTTTAATACAGAAAGCCTTGTGCTCTAAATTTTTTTTTCCTTCACCATTTGGCTACAAAGTAGGTGATAGATTTAGCATTGTAATCGCACGCTGTTTCTTCCTTTACTTGAGCCTCCTATCTTAGATAATTCCTAGAGGAGACAGGGTGTTTTCCATTGCAGGGAGGTACTGTCTTCCTGTTGGGTCATAGGAAACACAGGCAGAACTCTGTGACAGTCTTTTTGCCTGCCCTCATCTTGGAGACATCCTGTAGGAGATGTGCTTTCCGAGACCTTTTATCCGTGCTGGTGTTAAATAAGGCAAGAGATAGAGCTCCCATCACTTCCCTTCAGGAGACACATCTAGGCAGGCTCATCCTCGTGGGCAGCTGCGAGCTGGTTCTCAACTTGGAAGCAAAGGGCTTTACAGATACTGTCTGGAAAAATTCTGCAGACACCAAGAAACCTAAGCTCACCAGTGTGTTTTCCAGGCTGAATGGATAGTGTGTAGGTGGTTTCAGTCCTGTCTGCTCAGTAGGCTGAATTTCCAAGTTTCAGTCTGCGTGACGTTAAATAATTCTGAACTCCAACATTATTAGATGAATATTCCCATTTGCTATTCATGGGTATTTTTCTCCTTGAGAAATGGCTAATTTAAAATGCTGTATCTTTGCTTTGAGCTCTCTACCTGCTGTTCCATGTTGCGGGTTCAGATGATTCTGCGTTTTTGTATTAGCCTCGTTTCCACAGCCATGAACTGTGAGTGGAAACGTTGCATCATTGTGTAACTTCTTCTGATGGGAGAGAAGGGAGGTAGGAACGGCGGTATGCATCCACCCCCCAAGACAGGCTGGTTTTGGGGACCAGGAGGGGAGGGGAACTGAAATTGGAGAGCTTAGAGCCGGCTATGTCCTTTTTGACAAAAGCAGAAGGCAAATATATTTCAACAGTAAGGGCTGGAGCTAAAAAAAGAGTTGTGAGAGGGTTAAAATCCAAGACAACAGCTGACTTGTGTTGTAACTTTCAGCATCATTTCACAATGTTAAAAGCAAACAGTACTAATTACACTAGTCTCTAGAGATGGTCCCAAATTTCCTGTCTAATTAACTTCTGTGTTTTCCTGGCATTTGGCATTAACTTGCATCAATCTTTAACCGCTCTGTAGGAATTTACAGTAAAGGGCCATTTAGAGGCAGTCAGACTGAAAATGAAAGGCTAGTTGTGGTGTAGGACCCCATGGAATAACGAACAACTTCTCTTTGCAGGAATCTCCCTCTGTCAAAGACGGCCACTCCAAAGACTCCACTTCAAACAGCAGTGCCATGGGGAAGGAAGGCAAAGATGGTGCTGAGAGGTGAGCCTGACTCCCCTGGTCCTCCTGCTTCCCATCCTCAAAGGGTACAGAGCCCAACACCCCGTTAACCCTGCGCTCTGCCAGACCGACCTTGGGGCTGCCTGTTCTGCCTTCAACCTTCTCGATGTTCTCTAAACTTTAAGCCCACTTTTTTTGCACAGCTGGTAAGCGGAGGGATCCTGCTG